ATGCTTGGGAACAAACAACCTAGTGACTTGCTATTTTTAGTTTCTAATGGATGAAAATAGTATTTAATTGTTAAATGGAAGATTGTCAATTCTTTATTGGAGATATGATAATATGAAATGTACAGGAATTATTATATACAAGTGTTATAGTGCTTGAGGTCCACCCTCTCAGTAGGGTTTTCCTTGCCAGGATTGGGGTGTAACATCAGATGCACCTCAGTTCTTTTTCTTCAAGGCAATGCAATTTTTTGGTTGTTTTTTTGCCTTATTGAGAGGTACGTATGTTCCATTCCAAAACATGATGCTAAAATCCAGATAAATGCGAGTGATTCAACTTCGCCCATTCTTTTATATTTTTTATTTTTTGGGCGCTATTGTTTCATGCCAAACTGGTGATATTGTTTCTCTTGCATTAATGGTATGAATGTTATCTATGTTTTTGCTTTTGTCGGTGTCGGTATAGGGGGTTAAATCCATCATTGGAAAAGAATTATTTGGATATGTCATGAAAATCATTTTATCATGTTGAATTGTAACTAAATTTTCAATGAATATATATTTTCTTTCAGTTTAAGGGCACTAGAGAATGACTTTGGCAATCCTGTGATTTTGTTGACATTTAACTATCTTCTACAAGGATCTCCTTATAGTGTAATTTCAAGCTTGTTTGCAAAAGTTTGTTTGTCATCAATCCCATGGTAGTTTATTGTGAAAAAAATGTCACTAAAGGTCATCATCATGACATCATACATTATAATAAAGTTAGCGAACGTTAAAATATGCAGCGTTCAAAAAAAGATACCTACCTATAAGTGTAATTGACATTTCTAATGTAAACTTAAGACGAAAGTCGCATCAGCAACGCAAATTTATATATGTCATATTAGCCTATTATAACATTTTAAGGCCTATAGTGGCATTTTAAATACCGCTAATTTTAAAATTTTCAATAGGGTCTACAAATTATTTGGTGATTTGGTAGTAATATTTCATACTAGTACTACTCATGTTAATATTTTGAAAATAAACATAAAAATAATTATTTTATCTATTTAAACTAATAAAAATTTAATTAAATCATGCCAAAGGATCACAATATAAATTTCCATTGAGTAACACACATTCAAGAAAAATAACATTGCTAGTAGCCTAGAAGCAAACTTACATTACATATCCAATGGAAGGTGTCCATTAAAAAATTAAATTCCTTTTTGTTTCCCTTCGACAATTCGATTTGCCTTAGAAAGCTTTGTTCTTGAGCCACCTATGACTTTTAAAGTTTGTTTTGTTTTGTTTTGTATTTTTTTTTTTTTTTTTTTTTAGTTTTTTTTGTTTTTTTTTTTTTTTTTTTTTTTTTTTTTTTTTTGATTCAGCAAAGTAAATCTTTATTGATGATAAAGCCATACATTACAAATGGGAGTTCAACAATAAGGATGAGAAAGAAAAAAGGAGAAAAAAGGATAACCAAGCATAGTGTTGGTGAGAAACCAACACTATCTCACAAGACCACAAACATTCCTAGCAGCAGAGCAGATTAGCAGCTAGAAAACCACAATCCAGAACATTGACAGCAGAAGAATAATAGATTCACCTGGAACAAAATCTGACCAAGAGCAACACTCTATGCACATGACCAATATAACAGTCCACCACCAACAACCAACAAAAGGCCACACAGTGACACAGCACCAAAGGCACACAGCAAAGTTACCAGTTCTAGCAGATACACAACCCCCACAAAATATAACCAAAGCCAGAACATTGACAGCAGAAGAATAGCAACCACTAACACATTAGCATCAGCCTCACAAACATATCAGCATCCTCAATGTAATGCATATCCACCTGGAACAACATCTGACCAAGAGGCATACAGTAGAGCTACCAGTTCTAGCAGATACACAGCACAAACCAGTAAACCAACAACTGGCAAAAGGCACAGCACAACTAGTAAACCAACAACCTAGCAAACACCAAAATGCCAAATAGATATAACACTGAGATAGATAGATACACAGTCAGCAGACAGATACCCAGCCAGGATTGAAACAGGTGTTACCCAAACCAGTAAACCACCAAACCAGCAAATACCAAACTACCACCTAAAACACCACAAACAGCAACAGGCAAATTACAGACCAGCTCACGACACATGGTGGCAGACCAGCAGGAGTTGCCCAAACCAGCACAGCCTGGGGTAAAGCAGCTATTCACCAAAATAGCAAATCAGCAGACCAATAGAATCCAAAATTCAAAAAGCCCCCAAAACACCCAAACAGCAGCCAGCATATGACAAAACAAATCTCAGCTACAATCGTTAATCTGTTCTAGATTGTTGATTAAGTCCATGACAGAGTACATGATCCCCTTTGACGAAGCTTTAACCCAAAGAGCAAATCTAACCTTAATAGTTTCACATAACTCAGACTCACTAGGCTGGACTCCATCAAATGCACAATCATTTCTTAACTTCCAAATGGACCAGAGAACAATAAAAGGTAAGGCCCTCCACAACCTCCTAACCAATTTCTTATGATTCCAGCCAAACCACCACTGTAATAAGCAATCAATAGACTTTGGCACCACCCACAAACACCCCCACCAATGCAGCAAATCAGACCAAACTTTCCATGAAAATGGACAGTGTAGCAGAATATGAATAACAAATTTATTTTCATTTTTGCCAAAAGCACATAAGACAGAAGCACTACTATTAAGGGCACCAACATGTTATAAAAAAACCCCTGTTTTAACTCTATTCCTCTAAGCCAACCAACCAAAAAATTGAACTTTGGGGGGAATACCATTGTTCCAAATAAACTTACAAATTTTGATATGAGGGCCCAAAAGGGAATCACTAAACCTATAGATATCAAATACCTTAAAGTTACCTCCAGTAGAACCATTCTAAACAGGACAGTCTTTAACATCAGGACTTAAATGAGGGGTCTCCCTCAATGCTGCCACCAACCTATTGACCTCTACTTTCTCCCAATCAAATAACACCCTTCTGAAGGCAAAGTTCCATTCCACGAAGCTGGATTTCCTTTCTGAAAAATAAGCCAGTGTGTCCTCCTTGTCATTTGACAAACTAAAGAGTCTAGGGAACTTATTTTTAAGGCACCTATTTCCAACCCACTTATCAAACCAAATCTTTATTTTATGCCCATTCCCAACCTTTATCTAATACTGCCCCAAAAAGAACTCCACCAGAGGTTGATTATGACTTGTAATTTAAAGAACATCTCTCCAGATTCTAGATTGTCTAGATGATGAGTGGTAACCAACTAGCCTCCCCAATCATGTACTTACTGCACATGTGGTAACCAACTAGCCTCCTCAATCATGTACTGACTGCACACCAATTTTCTCCATAGAGCATTTACTTCACTTCCAAATTTCCACCACCATTTAATAAGTAAACTTGCATTGACATCCTTAATTCTCCTAATCCTCTATCCTCCTTGATTCATATTTTTGGATACTTCCACCCAATTCACCAAATGAACCTTCCTTTTTAACCCATTCCCACCCCAGAGGAAAAAAGCTTCAAGCCTTTCAATTTCTGTAACCACTCCACTAGGCATTATGAACAAAGATAGATAATAAATAGGAAGGCTAGACAGTATAGACTTAATCAAAATTAATCTACCTGCAAAGGAGAGGAGCCTTCTCTACCACCCAGCCAACCGAGATTTTACCTTATCCAAAACTAGCTTCCCAGTTGATTTCCTTCCTGGATTAGCACCTAAGAGAAGACCCAAAAATTTGCGTGGCAAGCCATGAACCTTGCAGTTTAGAATATTAGCGAAAAAAACCAAAGTTTCCTCATCTACACCCACACCACACACCACACTCTTGTGGAAATTTATTCTCATTCCAGACAATATTTCAAAACTTCTTAAGATCCTCTTTGTGTGCACTATTTGATCCATATCTACCTCACAAAATATAATGGAATCATCAGCAAATTGGAGATGGGATATCACTACCTCTTTTACCACCACTTTTACCCCCTTAATAATGCCTTTCTCGTAAGCTTTGTTCATTAAGATATTTAGACCTTCAGCCACTATGTTGAATAGAAAAGGAGAAAGAGAATTACCTTGTCTAAGACCTTTCTGTGGAGAAAACTCCTCCATTGGTGAGCCATTCACTAAGACAGACAGCCTTGCTGTAGAAATACATTCCCGCATCCAAGATATCCACTTAGATCCAAAGCCAAAATTAGATAACATAAAGAATAGGAATTCCCAATTGATTGAATCATAAGCTTTCTCAAAGTCCAATTTGATAATAACACTTTTTCTTCTAGATTTCTTCCATACATCAACTATTTCATTAGCAATAAACACCCCATCCGATATACTTCTCCCCCCCCCCCAAACAAAGTAGATTGTCTTTCCCCTATAACTACAGGAAGAACTTTCTTGAGTCTATGAGCCAGAACTTTAGAGAGAATTTTGTACAAACTACCCACCAAACTAATAGGTCTGTAATCAGACAGACCACAGTGATTATCATTCTTAGGAATAAGGGTGATAAATGAACTGTTAATCCCATAGGGAAGCTTGCTAAAAGCATGAAATTCTCTCAAGAAATGCAAAACCTCATGATGAATAGACGTCCAGAATTTCTGAAAAAAGAGGAGATTAAACCCATCCGAGCCTGGAGCCTTATCACCATTGCACTCCTTAACAGCTACCCTTACTTCCTCTTCAATGAACACTGCTTCAAGATCATGAAATACAGAACTTGCTTGCACTGACTTAAACAATCCTCCCAGAACTGGTCTTCTTACCCAGCTTTCAATGAATTGCCTCTTGAAATGTTGTAAGACTTCACACTTTACCTTCGTTGGCTCCTCAAAGACCTCACCTTCAACTATGATGGAATTAATTGAATTTTTACTCCTCCTGCTGCTGGCCGTAATATGAAAAAAACTTAATGTTTTTGTCCCCATTGATGGTCCAGTTTACTCTAGACTTCCATTGCCACAGTCATTCCACCATTCTACTAAGCTTCAAAACTTCACCTCTCACTTCTCTTCTTCTAACTCTTTCAACCTCCTCTAGAGGTCTACTTTCAACTAGAATGTCCAGTTCAACCAACTCCTCCTCTGCCTCCTTGAGTTTTGTTGATAGATTTCCAAAAACTTCAGAATTCCATTTTTTCAACTCTAACTTTAGAATTTTCAGTTTCTGAAACAAAACATACCCTGCTCTCCCAATAATTCTAGATTCATGCCAAACCTTGTCCACGATTAAGGGAAAACTTGGATGAAGAGTCCAAGCATTAATGAACCTAAAAGGCTTAGGTCCCCAATCCCTCTCATCATCCATTAGCAAAATAGGACAATGATCAAAAAATAGCCTAGGAAGACCCCATAATTTGAAGTTAAACTTTAGCATCCACTCCGGATTAAGCAAAAATCTATCTATCCTACTCTATTTCTCCCCATCTTGAGCATTGCACCATGTGAACTTCCTGCCGAGCAATGGTAAATCATTTAACTCACAACTCTCAATGCAGGAATTTAGATCCAACATTCTCTTATCTCTTCTGTGACAACCCACTCTCTCACTAATATTTCTAATCTCATTTAAATCACCCCCCAAGCACCATAGTTTTGGGACCTCAGATTTTAACTTCAGCAAGGATTCCCAAAATTTACATCTACTACTCACCTCATTTGGTGCATACATATTCAAAATAGTACAATCAAATGTATTCAGTAAGGTACCAGAGAGGAGAATAAATCTCCTACTGCTACAACAATCCACCAATTGCAAAAAATTTGGGTCCCATATACAAAGTAGACCCCCAGCAGTCCCATCAGAATCCACAGCCATAAAATCCATGTTTTTCCTTCCTCACAATGCTCTGACTTCATTCTCAGAAATTCAAACTTTCTCAGTCTCCTGAAAAAGCACAAAATCAGCCTTAGTTTCATATATGAGCTCTCTAATTCTTCCCTTCTTCTCTAACTTCCCCAACCCTCTAACATTCCAAGACATCAACTTCATATGTAAACTATTGTAGCACCAAAATCCCCAAAAAAAGACTCAAAGCTCCTATTCTTTCCTCTTCTCCTTCCTCCTTTCTCTGTCAACTAATTCCAGAGCAACCATCATTTCCAAAGCTTCAAACTCGCTGCCTTTATAATTGATTCCCAGGATTTTCCCCAGCTGAATGTTTGCTTGTGTCTTACTAAGGATGTGACTTCTACTGCAAGAGTTACCCTTATTTGAAGCAGAGAGTGACAAAGCTGCTACAGCAGCCCTAAATACAGCACATTTAGGAGTGGACTTACTAGATGATGCACCTTTATGACCATACAAACGAGCTAAAGGGAAGTACCCTTTCACCTCTGTAATGGATTTTGTTGTAGTAGAAAATCTTACCTTACCTTTACCTTTCTTTTTTGACTTCTTCACACTGTATATGCTATCTATCACTCTATCTGGGTTTGTTTGCACCTGGTACATGTTGGGCCTGATGGAGGCCCAATTAGAAATAGAAGTTGACTGTGTATTTGGGCCCCTCACCACTAAACCCATTATGTTATTCTCCACTGGATCAAGGATATGGCCCAAGTTCACTTCCACGTTAATACCAGGCCTTTGGCCAATAGACCCACTTAAACACCCAACAAAACCAGGTGTAACTAGCTGTTCCTCAACCCTTAGATTATCATCATTAGCCTCTAAGCTATGCTCTGCAACCTCCATCTCCATACGCTCCTCAACCACCAATATGTTCCCCACGCCACTTTGGGTCTCAGCCACTACTGTTTCCCCATGATTGCTTTTACTAGTCAATTCCAGCCTACTCCCTAGTGCCATATCTCCAGAACTTGCCACCTCCACTTCATCGTCTTCCTCCTCTATAGCCTGATTCTCAACAGTCTTATCACCATCGCCCACTCTTACAGGTTTAGGCTTTCAACCTCATTTAAACTACGGACTTCCTCAACCTCACTAGATAATATGCTTCCATACACCACTGAACTGTGCGGTTATTCTTCACAAACCATCATTGGATGTAGTCGTTTCTTGCATTCCAGATTAATGGTTGTATTGATAAACTCCATACAACCTGTAGCAATTCTGACTCTGCCATAACTAAAAGACTGTGGTTGGCTAATGTTCTCATCCAGACTAAGAACACTACCCCAAATGCTAACGATCTTATTAAAGGTGCTTCTATTCCACATGCTGAGAGGGACACCACAATATCTGAGCCATATACATCGCTCTGGCTCTGCACAGAATCCTAGTTCCCAAATTTTAACATATTCACACCAATCACTATGTTTTGATCGACGATAGTTTTGGCAGCATATTAGCTTTTGATAAGAAGGTCAACACTACATCTCTACCACCTTCATTTCTGACCAGTACATACTCTAATCCTTTCTCTTTTGGAACCTCCTTAATGCTCTGCACAGAATACTCTGTTTGGCATTTCAACAACACACTGTCATACAACCAGCCATGCCCTTCTTCATTAACCTTAATGGTAGATACTACTTTCCCCACCGGCATATTTACACCTGTTTTTAAAACATCAGCAAAAGATCTCTCCAACCCGTGATGATCTGGAGCATACCTTCCCCTAATTTCATTTCCACCTATATCCCCTCCAGGCTGATTTCTTCTAACTGCTCTATCTTCGAGTCTACCATATTCTGCCATTTTAACTTCAAGCTCCCTATCCTCTACCCATAAACCATTGGCTTTTTGGCCGCCACTGAGCAATCAAATCTAGCAAAACCAAATCTAGTGTTTATCGCTTTCCTTCTCTTCTGAGGTATAAATGCATCCTTCACTATTCCAAACTTTGAGAATAGTTTAAACAGTGCTCTAGGATCCATATTGGAAGGTAGCTTATCCACAAAGACGAAGAATAATCCCTTGCCGACCTCCTTGCGCCAGGCTTCATTCCTTATCCTTTGCTTGACTACTGGAATCCACCCACCTTGTTCCATTGCCAATGTGTTCTCCTTTTTCTTTATGATCTCCTCAAACACAGAATTACCAACTTTAGTACTCCTGTAATTTGATGTAATTCAATTGCAATCCACCTTGATTGCTTTCTTTGTTTTGAACATTGAAAAACAAGATCAACATAAAGACATATGGATTTTTAAAGTAACTTAACAAATTGTCCACGTACCTCTCTTATTTATCCCTGCTACCAAACAACCCTTTCATCTCCTTAACCTTGTCGATGTACGCCTTCCCTTCTTCGGCAACGATCATCAGCCACTGAGTCCCTCATGAATGACCCGTCTCGCTTGTCTCTTGGTATCGAGTATGCTATCTTTTTCTCCTCTAAAAGCCTAGCATTCAACCCTTGGTCCGCCATGTATGTCAACAGAATAAGAGCCCTCTCAAACTGTATTGCCTCCACCACCCAGCTCCACCCAGAGTGAGTCAAGAACCCATCCACAGAGTCATGACTTAGTATCTTGAGTTGAGGCACCCAACTCGTGCAAATCACCCCAACTCCTTTAGTTCTCTCTTCAAACCCATCAGGCAGCTCAATCAACTCAGTATCAACCAACCCACGTCTCTTCCTCAGAACCCAAAAGAATGGTAACTGAGAGAGCTCTAACCCCAGAGCTATCTCAGTGAGTTCATGTTGAGTAGGTTTGGCCTCGGTCCTAAATGCAACGTAGACCATCGATCATTTGTCTTGCTTGTCAAGCCACTCTTTCATTTCCCTCCATGCATCTTTGTTGTTGTCATCGTCGCCTTCATCGTATGCCATTGTGGTAGTTGTCCAACTAGAAAAATCGGCTTCTCGTGAATTTCCTCTAAAACTTGTAACCATTTCGGTTCAAACTCGGAGCAGCTCCTCACAGCCAACACATCACAGCCTTCAGCACTAACTGCCAGGCGGTGCAAATCCGATACACCAAAATCGTTGCCTGTAAAGCCGTCCATCATCCTCAAGACTTCATAAAGCCGAAAAGCCGCCATAGAAGGGAAAGATACCCACTTGGAAGGGACAGTTAGTCCTCAAGCTTGTTTTGATCATCGTTTCCGTGAACCACCGCTGAGGATGGTCCAAGGAAGCCCATACAAGCTGCAATCAGTATACTGAAGAAGGCACTGGGAATGTTAAGCTTAGCTACAATAGGACCTAGCCAGTAAGGTGCAAAATCGTGGAGCAGCCAATCAAGATCTGAAGCCTTAAGAAAGTGAGCCATGGATTCTTGCATGCTATCGAATGCTATTTTGAGGTACTAAACCTTGTCGTAGGGTAAGTCAGAGGTGGCCTTTGCGTTTTCAAGGAGGTTTTCGGTAGGGGGTAAAGGAAGCTTGACAAAGTTTAGGAGAGAGAATAAAGAATGAGGAAGTTTGGGGAGGCGATCGATGTTTCTGGGGATGGAAATGAATGAGACTTTATGGCCTTTTTTAGCAATGAGTTTGGCGAGCTCTAAGTATGGGATCATGTGACCAAAGGCTAACCATGGAACCATAACTATGTGTAGCTTGCCATCATTGGCCATGGACGTGAGATGAGGCTCTAAAGCCATGGTTAGACCTACAGTGCTGGTGTTATGCTTTGGCACACCACATTAACACACACACACACACACACACATATATATATATATATATATGGATAAATTACACTAACACCCGTGAGGTTTTTATTTAATACAAATTTCTCTCTCACGTTTGAAAAATTATATTTCTCTCTCTAAAGTTTGTAATCTAATTACAAATTACCTATTTGATAGTTGATGTCATGCCCTAAAATTTTATAAATGACCATTTTGCCCTTTTTCCGACCATTTCTTCCCCATATCATCATGACTACATTCTACAACTTTCCATCAATAAATTCTACATGAACATATTCTTATTGAGTAATAATGTACAAACATAAATTTTATATAAAATTTTTAAATATAATGATATAGCTTAATGGTGACCTTTTACTTTAAAATAAAATACTCATAAAAATGATTTATATTTACAACAAAAAAAAAAAGTACAAAAAAAAAGAAAAGAAAAATAATGTAACTTAAAAAAGGCAAAAAAAACTAAAAAATGAACTTTTAATTCAATTGCCAAAAATAGGCTAATACTGACCCCTTCTCTTTCATGTATTTTGGTAGTAAACAACTCATGCCTGGAATTACAATCTCCATTCTCAGCTTATAAAAGTAACCGACTTTAGTACTGCATTGTATACGTAAAGGCGATATTACACATCTTTTAAATGAATGTATTATATATATACTTTATAATTAAAATAATAATATAATTTTAATTTTTTGAATTATAATTAAATATAATATGAGATATAATTAAAAAATTCATTAGTTATAACTAAAATAATATCATAATAAAATAAAAAAATTAATCATAATTAAAAAAAATGACATAATTAAAAGTGCATATAGTACACACTTTTTAGGGTTAGTTTGAAAAGAATTTTTTTAACGTGACTTTTTGACTAAGCCTCTGTTTGGCAAGTGAGGTTGGAGGCTTTTTTGGCTATTTTAGCCACAAAAAACAAAATAGGCTATTTTAGCCATAACAAACAAAACATCACATCCAACCCATAATCATTACATTCTTCTCTCACAAAAAAACTCAAAAAAGCCAAAAAGCCAAAAAGCCCTTCCCAAACCAAGCTTTTAAGCCCAGGCTAAAATAGCCAAAAAAGCCAAAAAGCCAACCCACTTCCCAAACCAAGCCTAATTTAGCCTGGTTAAATTAGCTTTGTTTTAATTTTTAATTTTTTAATTTTTTTTGTGAGATACAAAATAAATAATTATAATTTAAATGTGACATTTTACCTTACTAATTTATTTAACTTTATGTTTTTATATTTTTTTAATCCCAATCCACGTCTGGCTAACTTGTCAAACCACAGCTAAAAAGGTGCATATTAAAATTTTCCAGATGTATCAAAAAGGAAATCAAACTAAACTACAGAAACTCAACGAAACCAAACATATAATGCCGTCTTCAAAGAACAGCCAATTAAAATAAAAACATAAAAGTAAACACAGAAAGATTATTTATTTTTTTATTTTTGAAAAAATAGACTCGACTTACAAATTCGATAAAATACTATCCACTCATGAGTATTTTGATCTTCTCTGATCTGTTTTTGCGTTATTCTAAGAACACAATGTATTCCTGTATTTCTCTAAGAAAAATTTCTATTTCTGTATCACTAATCAAACCAATCAAACTTCACGATGATCTTGTTTTTCAGCCTAACCAGGACAAATAGTAATTTACTCTTTCCATTAATATCCAAATTTAACCTATTTTGCATGAAGAACATCAGCAACAACAAACAAAAAAAAAAAAGCACATTATTTAACAAAGCCAGTTAAAAGCCTTCTTCAACTCTCTACCCTAAATTCAAATTGAGAGATCAATAGAGAGAAACACAACAATGTATATACGCTCTGTAAACGTACCATATGGCTGAACCCCTAGATCAACCCTCAATTTCGCAAACTATTTCAAGGAACCGCTTGCATTGCTCATCATTTTCTTAAATTCTTCAAAGTTGACGTAACCGTCGCCGTCGGAATCCACGGACTTGATCATTCCGTTGCAGTCCTCGACGGAGCACTTCTCGCCGAGGCGGTTCAAGATCTGGTGGAGCTCCGTGGAGGAGATCAGACCGTTCTTGTTGAGGTCGTAGAGGTCGAAAGCTTCCTTCAGCTCCTGAGCCCCACCAGCGGAGGAGCTCCGGTAGAAGTTGGCGAACTCATCGAGGCTAATGAAGCCGTCACGATCGGTGTCGATCTCCTCCATCATCCGCTTCACCTCGTCTTCGGAGGTATCGGATCCGAGGGCTTTCATCACGTGGACGAGCTCCGTCAACGAGATCTTACCGTCGCCGTTTGTGTCAAACCTGTTGAACACCTTTCTCACTTCCTCCATGTCCTGCAGGTTAAGGTTTGTGTTCGTCGCCATTGCCATTTCTGGTTTTTGCTTTTAAAATTCAGAGAGAGAGATTAGCTTTCATTGTGGAAAGGTCGTGTTTTTCTATTTATAGGGATCAGAGGGCGAGGTATAGACAGAGGTGTATATTTAGAGAGAGAAACGTAGCCCATCATATAAGAATGGACTTGTGAGAGAGAGAGAGAGAGAGAGAGAGAAATGTTTATTTTAGAAAGTAAAAGAAAGGTGTTAATCGCGGATTCAATGGTGGAGGCCGGATTCTCGGCCGCCCTACCCTGCAATCATTCTTACAGTGTTTCAAAACGATGTTGTTTTGGGGTTAATTTTTAATTAAAAAAAAACACCAAAACAGAACCCAGAGAGGAAAAGAAAGAAAGCATCAACGACGACGAGCAACCATAGCCGCGAGATCCCTTCTCTCTCTCTCTCGCAATCTTGATCTCGCCACCAACGATGAGCCACCATCTCAATCGAAAGAAGAAGAAGAAGAGGAGACAGATGAAGGAGGTGCTGTGGCGATTGAAGAGAGAGAGGCTTGAGAGAGAATTCAAGGTTTTGATTTTTTGGTGATGAACTTTGATTTTTCATCATATTTTTTAGCCCATGATTTGTTATGTATATATGTATTGTAGATTTGTATAGATATAACGATATATATATTGGGATGGAAGTGGAAGGTGAATAGGAATGAGAAATCATACCAGCGATCGAAAAGTGGCGCCGGTGGGTGAAGGGATTCCGAAGGGTGTGGTCGTTGTAGGCTGCCGGTGCCGTGTTCTTCTTTCCCTCTTTCTCTAGTTTTGTTATGTTCTGTTCTGCTCGTTTTGTGTTTTTTCTTTTTAAAAAAAAATAAAAAATAAATAAAAATTGGCCCCAAAACGACGTCGTTTTGGAGAGTTGCAGGGAAGGGTTGCAGGGTAGGGCGGCCGAGGATCTGGACTCTTCAATGATGGCTAAAGTTTGTATTTTTATTTATTTTATTTTTTTTAATACATGAGAAACAATCTATATAATAAAGTATGATAGTTTTTGAATTTGTCCTACGCACATTTGTCCTACTAAGACATTTAGACGGCTTAGATCTATTCAAATTATAAAATAACGGTTGAGATATATTTTTCAAAAAATATCATTCATGTACATTTTCTGTCACGCCCTCAAAATTAACCCATTATATATCATTAACATGCATTATTTAAAGAAGACAATATATATTAATTCATTCATCAGAGTATTACTAAATAAAGCATTACATGTAACATCAAATAAAATGCCCTACAGGCTTACATCTTTCCAAGCCAACACTTGGATACAAAAATATGAGTTCTAACTCAATACAAGAAAAGCCCTAGGCTTGAATGTTTACATGTAATAATAATTAAAGACAATTAACTAAAGGTAATCTTCTCCAATCCAGAAGCCAAACCCTCCCAAGCTAAGTCCTTGGAGGTAGTTTATCACCTGAACCTGAAAATGATGTTCCCATAAAGGGTGAGCCACAGCCCAGTAGAAATATACTAAACCACATATAAGCAATGAATAAAGCAATAGCATTCAACAGATGGTCAACCAAAATAATCAATTACTTCATTTTACAATCTCATGACACTATTGCCAAAGATACGTTTTACTTTCCAATTTTATCAACATGGCTCAGAACCTGGCCAAACTTACAACAGTGAATCACATATATCATATTCACATCCTTCCAATATCAACAAACAAATGAGACTCAAGCTCAAATCAAAACACTTCATACTTCCAGATTGATACACATTTTAGTGCCATTGAATTTCCATTTTTATTTAATTTCAAAATAGATCATTAAGGTGTAGTGGTTTCTTGACTGAACTTCCATGTTTAATTTTATGCAACTTCCATTTTTATTTTTATTCAACTTCCATTTTTATTCAATTTACTATTCTATTAAACTTACTTTTTTATTTAATTTCCAAATAGATCGTTAAGGTATAGTGGTTTCAAGAATGAACTTCCATGTTTAATTTTATGCAGTTTCCAATTCTATGTTTATTCAACTTCCATTTTTATTCAATTTACTATTCTATTAAACTTACTTTTTTATTTAATTTCCAAATAGATCGTTAAGGTATAGTGGTTTCAAGAATGAACTTCCATGTTACTGGACAGGCTCGCTCGAGCGAAGACTTGGTCGCTCGAGCGACCAGACACAGAGAAACTACGCTCGAGCCAAGGAAGCCTTGCTCGAGCCAACAACTCAAAATCTCGCTCGAGCGAAAGAAAGCTCGGTCGAGCGAAGAACTCATACCCTCAGGTCTGAACCCAGACACACGCTCGAGCGAAGGAACTATAGCTCGAGCGAAGGATGAACTAACTCGCTCGAGCGAAGAAAAGCTCGCTCGAGCCAAGAATGCACAGCTACAGGTCCAAATCAAACACTACCTCTCGCTCGAGCGAACAACTCCTCGCTCGAGCGAAGAACCAAAAACCTGGACAGCAACTCTTGGTTTCTAAACCCAACCAACCTGAAACAAACCTGCCCAACACATCCTATAATTCCAAATGAGAAAATAAGGAATAACAACAACAACCATTTTACAATGACAGAATCTACGGAACAGTCCGGATACAATAATCAAATGGGAAAAGACCGGGGTCGTTATATTTTCTATTTTCCTGCTTCTCTCTCTTATTTTTTCCTTTTCTCACCCACCCTTCCATGATCCCACCTTCCTCTCCATTTTCTTTTTATTTTTTTATTTTCTCCCATTTTTATTTTTCTGTCTATTTGTTTTTTTTTCTCCTTTCTGTTCACTTATTTTTATTCATATTATATTAAAAAGTTTACGATCCCAGAATTATGAGCCAGATTTTACTGTGTGTAATGGAGATTAAGTTAATGAATTTTATAGTTCACAAATAAAATGAATTTGAACAATTAATTATTATTTTTAAATATATTGAATACCTGATAGACTTTATAAATTTAGACCATATATGAATCTTCAACATCTATATAATAAAGCATGATGATTTTTGAATTTGTCCAACACACATTTGTCCTACTATGACATTTGGATGACTCAGATCTATTTAAATTATAAAACAACGGCTGAGATATATTTTTCATATTTGTCCTTCTCTTTCTTAATTTTTCCTTTTCTCACACATCCTTCCATGATCACATGATCTCACATTCCTCTCTCTTTTCTTTTTATTTTTTTTTATTTCCTCTTATTTTTATTTTTCTCTCTATTTTTTTTTTCTCCTTTTTGTTCACTTATTTTTATTCATATTATATGGAAAAATCTACGATCCCATAATTAGGAGTCAGATTTTACTTTGTGTAGTAGAGATTAAATTAATGAATTTTATAGTCCACAAATTAAATGAATTTGAACAATTAATTATTATTTTTAAATATATTGAATTTGAACAATTTTATAACCCTACATGTAAATATAGAATTCGTAAATTTAGATCCCATATGAATCTTCAACATATTTTAATAAAGTATGACGGTTTTTGAATCTTCAACATATTTTTATCCTATTAGGACATTTGAATGGTTCAGGTCTGTTCAAATTATAAAACAATAGCTAAGATATATTTTTCAAAAAATGTTCTACATATACATTTTCTACTTTACTGCTTCTCTCGCTCTCTTGCTTTTCCATTTTCTCACACCCCTCCCTCCATGATCTCATGATCACGTCTTCCTCTCTCCTTTCTTTTTATTTTTTTATTTTCTCCCATTTTATTTTTCTCTCTATTTATTTATTTTTTATTCTCCTTTTTGTTCAATATATTTTACACATATTTCCATACAATGTATGTATGCCCCGTAATACACTAGGACATTATGAGCATACTTACAATTCCCATATAATTATATAAGCAAAAGCAGTATTATATGTATGCCCGTCGAAATTGTATGTATGCTAGGCACATCTATCTGTCTTGCTATTTATAATATAAGTAAAAGCGAGTTTTCGTGAGGAGTTCTGTGAGAACTCCAAAACTTTATAATAAATTTGTGATTTTATCAAATTAAATAATAAATTTAAATAGTGTTGGGATTACAATTATATTTTAATCCTCATATTATTTACACCGTGCCTTCAAGTACGGGCATATGCTAGTATATTAATAAAACAAGTAAAGTAATAGGACTCTAAAAGGTCATCCCAATTAAACAACAAAAGAAAAAAAACAACCACAATAAACAAAATCGCCAAAAAAACAGTTACGAGTTAAGAAAAACCACTGATCTGCTCAAAGATGTGGTTTGGGAAGCAAAATCTGCTTGAAAGTTCGCCGTCCCTGTTGACAACACCGTCGCCACTGTTGCCGCTGCCCAACACCGCTGCCACTGTCGCCGGATAAGGAAGAACACCCACAATGGTATGGGAGAAGGGTTTAGAGAGGAGGTAATCATAGTGGGTGTCGAAAAATAAAAAATCTATGTCGAAATCAGAGAAGAAAACTCTCAAAACTTTTATTTCGGACATAAAAATTCTAAATCTACACTCGAAATCTACATTTTGAAAGTAGAAAAAGGATCACCGGAAAGTCGTCGGAGCTTTGCCGAGAATCGCCTAGATGGTGGCTAAAGTTGAAATATAAGTAAAATAAAAATAAAATTAGTATGTAAAAAGACATTTTAACTTAGGAGTATTTGGCGTGAGTTAAATAAATATATTTTTTAATTTTTTATAAAAAAAAATATAAAATATGGGCAAAATTTGAAGTGATAGGATAGAGAGGTAGTGTGACCCAAATAGGATAATGTGCTAAAATAATATGTGCTATTTTAGCACATGCCAAACTCTTAATTTTTTTTTCTTCTTTTTTTGGTTCAATTGATAGGAATATAATTATAATTATGAAAAATATTTATATCATCAAATAGATAACAGCGTACAATTAAAAAGTTAATAAAACTTGGCAAGTTGGATTTTAGCCTTTTTGGTTAAAATTTACAAAAATACAAAATACGCTAAAATAGCTAATAAGACAAAATGTCACATCAAATCCATAAACTTTTTATCTCACAAACATCACATCCAATTACAAAATAAAATTTAACTATCTTTCCAAAAACAAAAATTTTAATCTACTAAAATAACAACTTCTCAAACACCCACTTAACACAACAAGCCCAAGCCCAAGCCCAAGCCCAATAACTACTAC